CATGTTTGGGGCCGAATGATCGCTTGGCTCCACTCAGCCCCCTAACCGTCTCTGCGGCCTCAGCCAGGCCTGCTTGTGGAAGGGTCAGGTCCACGGGCATCCTCCTGGCCTGGCCAGGAGGCAGCCGCTTCTCCACAGAGTTGGCAATACTTCCGTCTACGGTGTGACAGTGACCTCAGTAAGCACTCATCCATGGGCCACACACGAGAACTCAGAATGTAACATCAAGAACTCCGATAACCAAGCCTGCACTCTGGACTCAACCCCATCATCTTCAGCACTGTCTGACGGCCAGGGGTGTGAGGCAGCCATGATGACCTCCAGGTGACAAGAACCGCCTCTGAACTCCAGGGACTCGAGGCCTCGGCCCACCCATGCAGGGCAGTGAGCTGCAGGGCTCTGCTCTTGGCCCCTCCCTGCATACCTGCGGGGCCAGCCTCAGGAGGACCTGCCCTGCAGCTCCGTTCTGCAGACAAAGGCTAAGCAATGCCCTTCCAGAAGGACTGCGAGAGCAGCCTGTCCGGACTCCCAGGCCCAGGCACCAAATCACTCGTCACGGTGAAGGTGGGCAGTGGGAGGGTAGGGGATAGCCCCAGCGTCTGGAGAAGGGGGCCAAGGAGGCTGGGGCACCTAAAGCTGAGCTCTGTGGGCAGCTGTGGAAGGGTCTCTGGGAGAAGAAAGTGGGGTGTCTGGCAGCCAGGGGCTTTCTGGGCACAGGCAGACTGGAGGGGCAGGGGTGGTGGCTGCTCTGGGTTGGGCTGAGGGCTTCCTAGAATCAGGGTAGGGAGAGTGCGTGCGAGCTGGGAATGGATAGGGCCAGGGACACTGAGCTCAGAGGGATCGGGGCGGGGGGACAGCAGTCAGCATGGAGGTAATGGGGTGGACCAGGGACCAGTAAGTTGGGACGCTGGGGCGTTCGGCCTGGCGCAGAGGCTCTGAAGCCACGTGTCACAGGGCAGGGAAGACTGGAGGGGTCACCCAGCTTAGAGAACACAAGGAGACACGCAAGGGATGCCTGAGGGTCCCCTGAGTCCTGGGACTGAGGAAAGCGGGCTGGGGAGGGGCGTGTCCAGGGCTGCCAGGGCTGGGTGTCTGGGGGCTAAGGGCTGAGGGAACCCGGAAACTCAGGTTTCAGGGGATTGCGAAGGTTGAAAGGGGCTGACAGAATTAAGGGGACCATGACCCCTGCGTCTGGGGACACGGCCTGAGGACATCTTAGACTCATGGGGCCCAGGCAAAACTCTCTTTCTAGTGCTGGCAGAGCCCAGGACACCCCAACCCTGCGTCTAGGGCTCCCAGGGGAGCGGGGTCCCCTTCTGATCCCCAAGTCCTGTGCGACCCTCTGTCATGGGCTCCCAGGGCCCCAGGTGACCCTGATCCCCAAGTCCTGTGCAGATGGGGCCCTGGACCACTCCACCCCCAGCGCCTGGACCCATGACCCCCAGGTCACCCCGACCCTGTGTCCTGGGCTGTCAGGTCACCCCGGGCCGGCGCGGGTCCGGCCCAGGGTCCCCACTCACCTCTGGCGCTGCACGTCCAGCCCGAGCCCCAGGCCGAGGCCGAGGCCGGCGGGCGCGGGGCCGGGCGCCGGGCTGAGCAGGCCCTGGGGCGCTGACGCTCTGCCCGCGGGCCCGGGCAGCCCTGGAAGGCCGGCGGGGGGCGCGGGCAGGG